GTAGTGTCATTTTCCAAAACCTAACTAAATGTCCTAGCCCTTTCTAAATGTCCTAAACCTAACTAAAAATCAGTTGGGCGCAGTGTTTAGACCTAAATCAGTTGGGCGCAGTGTTTAGGCCTAAATCAGTTGGGTGCAGTGTTTAGGATTAAAACTTTCCCTTACTCTAAAATCGTACCCTAACGAAAAATAAAATACTAGCAGGGTCACGGTTGAGTGATTATGGGCATGTTTGAGCAAGCCCATTAACGTCACATACATTTTGCTGACTCAGCAGAATTTGTTTCTATTTTTAGTTCATCTGGAGGTATAAAAGTCGGATAGCAACACATACAGATCATTTGATTACAATACGTTGTAGTGAACGGACAGCTCATCATGGCAATTACTTATCCGAGACCGCGTCCCAAATGTGGTACAAAAATTAACAACCGGAGTAATTTCTCTCGTCATAGAAAACATTGTGAGAAGAAAGTTGATCCTGTTCCATGTCCACACTGTCAGTCCACATTTACAAGAAAAGATGATATGTTAAGGCATGTGAAGAAGTTCCACTCCGAAGCAGCCAAGCGGAAAGCAAAGGAGTCTGCTGAACTCTTATGTCTAGAGTTATTGCATGCAGACAAAGTCACACGTCTGTAGGAAGATTCTCAGACTGGTGGCGCAGTTACTCGTGGTATGAAGCGTCCAGCTGAAGATTCCAATTTTGATGTCAAAGAATTAAAACCAGAGATGAAACCACAAGAGAAAAACGAAGAGTACAACAAGGGACCTACTCCGCTCTTTGTGGCGAATGTAACCAAATTAGGTTCTGCCAAACGCTGGAAACAAAATGCTGTAGTGAACCAAAAATTCATGATGACCCTTGATCAGCAACGCTCTCCGAAAGAGTCCGAAGACTTGAATATTGCTGCAACCCACGCTATTGCAGAAGCAACCGACCATTTGATTGAGGAACTCCAAATACCAGAAGATTATTGGATGACACTTCAGATCGGTAGTAGAGAGCATCGTAGGGATGGTTTAACAGGAGAAACGTGGAAAATTGATGTGGGCGATTTTACAAAGCGAGCTGCCATGACTCAAGCTGTTCTACAAAATCTTAGCCACGTCCTGAACAGCGGAGAGTTCATTACGAATGATGTCGGATTCTCAGCCTCGGTATTATTCAGCCGACCAGAACGCAAAGGTGGTAAACGGGCAGGTGCAAGTCCAGGTCAGAAAATATGGGAACAGATGGCAAAGGAATCCAAGTGCGTTTGTGAAATAAAAAACAAGGATACTCTCTGTTGTGCCCGTGCCATCGTGGTGATGCGTGAGTATGCCAAACGCCAACCGGGTGAACCTAACACGTTCAAAAATATTTCTCTGGATCGAGGAATAAATACCCAGCAACTAAAAGAAGCTAAAAAGCTCCACCAAGAAGCTAATGTTCCCGAGGGCTTATGCGGTTTAGACGAAGTGAATACATTTCAAGAGTACCTAGGCCAACAAGGATTTAGAATCATTGTAGTGGATGCTACACGGGGTGGTGTGATCTTTAAAGGAGACAAGTACGAAGACGAAAACAAAATTATTGCTCTGGTAAAGTCAGTGTATGTGGACGAACAGAACCAGGAAAAAGCCCATTACGATGGTTTATACAGCATTCCTGGATTTATGAACCGTAGTTATTTTTGCAAAAAGTGCTGCAAAGGCTACAATAGCGAAGACAGTGCCCATCACCGTTGTCAAGCTAAAAATTGCCCTGCCTGTAAAAGAAACACAGCAAATGATGAAGAGGAATGTCAAGATTTTACGTTATGGGCGAAACCAGATCGTAGCTGTAGAATTTGCAAACGTGAATTCTATGGTGAGCAGTGTTTTTTAGCACATTTCATTGAAACAGTAGAAGAAAACAAGGACATGAAAAAAACAAGAGAAAGATTAGAACAATAACTCCATGAACGTTTGACCCCCATCTTGGAACTGAAAAGCACTTGTCGAGATTTTCAACGATGTCCTCAGTGTATGGTGACTTACAAAGTGAACCAAGACTTTCCTCACAAATGCTTGCATGCACAGTGTAAACATTGCTTGGAATTTGTTCCTATTTACCAGCACAAGTGTTACATTACCAGTGAGGAAGAACAAAAATTTAAGAGAGCCTTGCAAAAATTAAGAAGCAAGAAGAAGAAAATAGAAACAATTTTGGGAACGATTGTTGAAGGTTTACCGGATCAAAGTACACAAGACGAGATTGATGCATTGATTGCTCAACGGAAGAAAAAATTAAAAGATTTGGATTACATCAATATGGGAGTACCCATGGTTGAAATCCAATTAGCAGATTTGCAGGAAAAAGTCATTGATGAGTTGTTAGATGAAGGAGTGTCATTAGAAGGCATTACTCTAGACATGGTCAACGAACGTTTACCAAAAGAAAAACTGACAAAGAAGATTTATGCGGATGATTTGATCTTTGCCGATATTGAATGTTTAATTGATAGCAACAAAACATTCATCCCGATTCTGATCTGTTTTACAAAAGGACGTAGCAAAACGATCTATCACCACTGGGGTACGAATTGTGTGAGTCTATTTCTCGACACAGTTGAAACATGGGCTGAAGAAGAAAAGCAGGAAAACGGAGGAAAAGGAAAATTACCAGAGTACACAATATTCTTTCATAATTTGAAAGGCTTTGATGGCGTGCTGACGACAAATACCCGGTACAACCAGAATTTAAAAGTCACAGATCAAATGGGGACAGGTACGAAGATGTTACACTTCAAGCATCACAATCTGATTCTCAAAGATTCTTTGAACTTTTTTAATATGCCCCTTGCGGCATTTCCAAAAACTTTTGGTTTGACAGAACTGAAGAAAGGATTTTTCCCGCATAAATTTTCCATGTTGGAGCATTTACACTACGAGGGCAAGATCCCAGACCTTAAGTTCTTTGAGCCCCAGCACATGTCTAAAGATAAGAAAGAAGAATGCGAAACTTGGCATGCAGAGCAAGTACTCAAGGGGGAGACTTGGAACTTTCAAAACGAAATGCTGGACTATTGCAAAAGCGACGTCCAATTGTTACCAGAAGGTTGTCTGAAATTTGCTCAAGACACCAAGAACGAGGCAGGATTTAATCCACTGACTCAATGTATTACGATTGCCTCCACGTGTCATTATTTCTGGCGGAATCACCAGATGCAGCCGAAAACCATTGCTGTAGAACCAGTGCAAGGATGGGGTGGCCTTAAAGTGAACCAAAGCAAAATCGCTTTGCAATGGTTGTATTTGGAAGATCTCAAATTAGGAGGCAATAGAATCAAACATTCCCGCAATGGAGGAGAACAAGTACTTCAAATCAAGGGTAGCAGAGTCACTGTGGATGGTTATGATCACATAACTAAAACAGTGTACGAGTTCCAAGGATGCGAGTACCATAGATGCCGTAAATGTAAACCGAATGGCAGGCATGTGAAAACCTTTCACCATCCAGATAGAACGGTAGAAGAAATTTATCAAGTCACCCAACGAAAAACAGAGCTGTTAAAAGAAGCAGGTTATACAGTGAAGGAACAATGGGAGTGTGATTTTAACAAAAAACTGAAACAATGTCCAAACTTGCAAGAGCAAATCGATAAAATGTCATGGGTTTCTCCTTTGAACCCAAGAGAGGCATTCTTTGGAGGCCGAACAGGCATGGCCAAATGTTATTACCAGGCAGGCAAAGAAGAAGAAATTTTATATGAGGATTTTACGAGCCTTTACCCCACCATCAACAAGTATGGAACGTATCCCATTGGGCACCCTCACATCATTGTCAACCCTGTGAACCAAAACATCCAAGATTACTTTGGAATTGCTAAAGTCAATGTCTTGGCACCAGAAAAATTGCTGCATCCAGTGTTACCGGTGAAGCAGAATGAAAAATTGCTGTTTCCTTTAGGTATCAAATGTGCAGAGGATCAAGCAGAACAACCCTGGTTTGAACGGACCAATCTCTGTCCACACAGTGATAAAGAACGAATGATGACAGGTACATGGTGTACTCCGGAGCTGCTAAAAGCAGTCGAGAAAGGCTACCAAATCCTAAAAATCCATGAAGTATGGCACTTTCCTGAAGACCAGAGAAAAGAGGGGTTATTTGCACCGTATGTGAATACGTGGCTCAAGCACAAAACAGAAGCCAGTGGATGGCCGTCAGGGGTAGAAACAGAAGAACAGAAAGCCACCTATATCCACGATTACAAAGAACACGAGGGTATTGATCTAGACCCTGAAAAATAGAAAAGAATCCAGGTCGTAAACAAGTCGCCAAATTAATGTTGAACAGCTTTTGGGGCAAATTTGGCGAGAACGAGCATCGCACACAAACACAATCAATTCAGGATCCGGACACATGGCAGAAAATTGTTCAAGATCTTACCATTATAGTTAAAGATGTGCGTATTTTTAACGAGGATGTCATGGAAGTCAGCACCCTGAAATTTGAGGATGCTTGTCAAAGCAGTGGAAAGATCAATATATTCGTCGTGGTCTTCACAACATCTCTGGCTCGTTTAAAGCTATATTCCGAATTGGAAAAGTTAAACGAGCAAGTGTTATACTATGACACAGATTCAGTGATTTACAGTTACAAGCCTGGAGAAGTGAAAATCCCTACAGGAGTGTTTCTTGGTCAAATGACGGACGAATTAGGAGACACCATAGAAGTGTTTGGATCGGCAGGACCTAAATCGTACTGCTATCAGACAGCGAAGGGTAAAACGGAGTGCAAGAACAAGGGGACCAAAAGTTCCTTTGAAATTAACCAAGTGTTGAATTGTAACTCCATGATGCAGCACATTCAGAAAGAACTGTCACATCCTTTGGAGCAAAGAAGACTCATGGAAATAGAAATAAAGAATCATTTTGTTACAGATAACACCAACAAGACGGTTAGTTTAACAAATTTAGTGAAAGTGTTTGGTGTCAATTGGGACAAGCGCGTGATTGAAAAAGAACAGGACTGACATACCCCTATGGCTATGTGAGGTTGTAATTTTTGTATGTGCTAAGTTTTTATTTTGTTATAAAATAGAGCACAGTTGGCTTGGTAGCGCGAGCTCTAGTTTATAGTGTTGTAAAACAGAGGTAAGGTCTGCGTGGTGGCGCCAACCAATAAAGAGTGTTGTTGTTACAAATTTTTGTGTGTATGGTTATTGGCGTGAAAATTTCCCAATCCTTAAACCAAAGAGAAAAAATCACAAAAAACAAGGAAGAAAATTCCCAAACCTTAAACCAAGGGAAAATTTCCCAAACCTTAAACCAAAAGAAAATTTCCCAAACCTAAAACCAAAGAAAAAATACCCTAACCCTAACCCTAACCCTAACCCTAACCCTACCCCTAACCCTAACCCTACCCCTAACCCTAACCCTAACCCTAACCCTAACCCCAAACCTTAACCCTAACCCTAATTCTAACCGTAACCCTAACCCTACCCCTAACCTAAACCCTAAACCCTAACCCTATATCCTAACCCTAACCCTAATCCCAAAGGACTAGGGTTTATTAGCATTTTAACCCTAACTAGGAGAAGGACTGGTACGAGTGTAAATAAAAAGGGGATAAATTGGCATTTTTTCATCCATAAAACAAGTGCGAGTGTGTTAAAATAACATTCAAAATGCAGTCGGTATCCATGCAAGATTTGGAACAAATAGCCTATTGGCAAGAATGATGAAGTAAATACGGGTATAATCTGTACAACCCAGTGCTTTCAGTGGAGTTAACAGAATTCGCAGACAGAGTGGTGAGAAATAACGTAGCAGTGCAAGAAGAATTTCAGTTGGAACTCACAATGCATCAACACAGAGTACCAGAAATCAATGAAAACCTGTTGATGTCCATGAGTGATGGTTTATTACGTGCAGTACAACATTGGGTGACAAGTCGAAGATTTTCCATGAAAACGCGATGTTATTTGACGCTACAAACAGTGGAACCAATTGCTCTCCCCATCACAAAAAGTTTAGGAGTGCTGACAAATATTCCAGTGTTTGCCTTTTTTCCTTGGACAGTACCATTATCACGTACCATGTTAGCAAGGTTCGATTGGCTGAGTTATAATTGGTTATTGACCAAGCTTCTTTCACCCACTAATAACATGAAATTGATTATCACAGCGATTCACGAGAAACAAGTCTAATCATGGTAAGTCTCAAGAGACATTTTATGCCCAGACATGTTCTGATGACGTCATTTCCCTAAGGAGCTTAGGTTGTGTATATCAGAGTGCTGGAATTTTGGTAAAACATGACATGTTTGCAACATGCCAAAAGTCACGTATACAAGACCATGTCCTACCTGTGGAAAAGAATTGAGCAAAGGCCAATTCTTTCATCATAAGAAGCATTGTGGTACAACAGAGAATCGTTATCATTGCCCATACTGCCCTATCTCATTTTCATTGAAGCATCATATGCAACGGCATGTACAACAACAACATTCGAAGAATCCGCAAAGGTTTACTTGTCCAGAATGCAATCAAGTATTCACAAATAAAAAGAGAATGAAAACTCATTTGGAAACCGTCTGTAGTGAGGTCAAACTATGCTACAAATGTTTCTTTTGAAACGCATCATTTACAAGACAAGGTAACAGACAAACGCACATGCGAAAAGTCCATGGACGTGTTTGAAGTGAGCAAGAGGTGAATTTGTTTCTTCATTTACAGCATTTAAGCGAAGAAGAAGATTTCCAAAACGAATGGATGTTTGTGGAGTCACGCCCGATTGAAGAGAACGAACACAAGATTTGCCCCTGCGGACAAACACACATAAAGTCTTACTTTTTTCTGGAAAACAAGATCAATGGAAACCGTACCTTTGTGGGTTCAACATGTATTAAGAACATTGATCCTAGGGTGGGTAACGTGATTGCTTATTTTGAGTATATATTAAAAGAGGACATACAAGGAACATATCAACGAGAAAACGACGAAGGTTTACAAAGGTTTACAGTTATGCCAAACACATACCTCGTTAGAGATTCAGAGGTCGTGGAACATTTAAACCCTCAAGTCACCAAAAACTTGGAAGAGAAATGGAAAGTTTTGGTGAAACACCCCAGGTCAGAGACTCTGATTCAAGGACAAACGTATGACCTACGATTAAAAGCGAAGTATGTTCGAGGACAGTTAACGTTTACTGCATTGTAAAAACAGGATGCTTTTATACGTGTAATTAGTTTTAGGAGGTCAATAAAAAAATCACACAAAGTTTACAGTTGAATCAGGTGTTTAAATTTTTACCGGGTACTGTTTTATTGTTGATAGAGTTGGGCATAGTTAGACTGCAAATCAGTGAGTTCCTGCATGAGTTGTGCCACAGACATTTTCTGGGGTTTTCTAGGTAACTGGGAACGTGTACTTTCTCGCTCCTTTTTCATGGCTTGATAACTGGTTTGATCTTGCACAAGTTTCTTCTCCTCATCCAACAACATTTGGTCTAAAATGACACAATGGACTTGTTCACGGGCCGCATTGACAACTGCCTATGTTTCTGGCGATTCCATCTTGGGGTAGGGTCGTAATGATTTGAATCGTTTAGGAAATGTGCCCTTCTTGAGATGGTTTTTGAATCCTTTGATGGCTTTTTCACGATACTTAACGCGGGCTTGGATGGCTTGCAATTTTTGACGATAACTTTTTAGTGTAGATTTCTTACTTCTTAAGGTAGGTTCCATATTTTTCTCAGGGAGTTCAGATGAGGTGTTTTCTTGGATAGGTTCACACACAGCAGGAGGGTTATTTTCTTGGATAGGTTCAGACACAGTACCTTCGAACACAGACATGTTACCTTGACAAGAGGTGAGATAAAAATGAGACCTTAAAGTGAGACCGATGCCAATTTATAGCCTGAGGTTCGTGTGAAACTATCATTCATTTAACACAAGGTATCATGAAGATAGGACTGCATGAGGAATGGTCTCCAGTAGAGGAGCCATGGAATGAAAAAGACATGTGGTTTAACCATGAGCAAACAGAGAGAGAAATGTACCCTGAGAATCAGGAGAATTGCCATTGGATGGAGTTAGCATTGGATGATCCCTTGTTTCAAGTCAGTTATACCCAAATATTTGGTTCTAATTTATATGTCGTGGATATAACCCAAAAACCTCCGTCAAAAGAAGGTATGATAAATATGGATTTTGAAATAGTGTATCCTATATACCACGGATTGAATGACATTATTGAATTAACAAAACGTTCCAAGACATCCAAGATTAAAATCAGAGCCTCCTCCAGAGAACATTGGGAGGTCGTCTATACCTGTGAATTCCGCGTAGATCAGTGGTCTTATAACAAAGTGGATGAAATCATGGACGGGTTAGCGGATCAGCTTACTATGAAACAAAACTTGAATGGAGGTTTGCTCATGCAGTTGTCTTTCAATGAGTAGATTGAAGTCAAAATTTGCAGTCAAAGTTTGCAGTCAAAGTCAACAACTAAAAATCTTATGTGTGAAAAAGTCTACAAAAATAAAATTCTTATGTGTGAAAAAGTCTACAAAAATAAAATTCTTACGCGTGAAAAAGTCTACAAAATAAAATTCTTATGGGTGGAAAAAGTCTGCAACTTACAAATGTGTCATCCGAAGGTCCCAAGGCCCCTACGAAAAATTCTTAAGGTCCAAGGCCCCTCAGACCACCAAGGCCCCGGGGCCTTAAAGGCCCCTAAAATTATCAAGGTCCCTCACATTTTAATGGGTCTAAAAAACTATAAATAGAACGAATTCATTATGTTAGTCATCACAATCATTTGTGTTAAGACTTCGTAGTGTCAAGATGCCTTACTGCCACAGACGTGTGTGTCCTATTTGCGGAAAACAGGATTTACTAAAGCTAAGCGAACACTTACGTCAGGTTCATCATTTGTCTAGCGATGAGCGACCATTGTACTTGAAGAACGCTACATTTTCACAGTCGTTCTCACCAATTCTTAATGCTTCAGGATGTTTAGAGATACAACCTTACCCTGAGTTTAAGTTTCAACACCCTGCATCAATGATGGTCGTAGGACCTACTCAGAGTGGGAAATCCTATTTTGTGGAACAATTGCTTTCAAGCAAACGTATCAAATACCCAAGTAGGAAAACCACAAAGATTCAATGGTTTTACACCCAGTGGCAACCACTGTATGAACGCATACAATCGACACTCGGGAAAAGTATTACGTTTGCTCAAGGTATACCAGTAGTAAACGACAATTTAGAAAACATCAATGATCAGGTTCATAACCTATGGGTGTTTGATGACTTGATGGAAGAAGCTGTGCAAAGTCCACTCATATCTCAGCTGTTTACTCGTAGCCGTCATCGTAATTTAAGTGTCATTTTACTGTTACAAAATATGTTTCCCAAGGGGAATTTAATACCAACATTTCACGAAACGCCCTATACATGGTATTGTTTCGTAGTCCTAGTGACAGAAAGCAAATGGATATCATGGCTGAGCGAACCTTTGCGAAGGATAGACCGAAATTTACGTCTGCTTATATGAAAGAAACCGAAAAACCCTACGGGTATATTATTTTAGACAACCACCCTAAAACAGCCAGCGAGAAACAAGTGATTGCTAATGTCTTTGGTAACTGTTATACTTACCCGAACATCACAAAAAGTACGCACACAGTCCCAAAGATAACAGACGTACAACCAGCAGTCACACACAACGTTGAAAGTCCGAAGCAACTAGTCAAACGTAAACCTGAGAACGAAAAGCCACCCGCGAAGAGGAAACGAACAGAAGGAGAGCAAGCGAAAACAGTGAAACAGTCTGCGAAGAAACCAAAGAAAGTTAAGACATTGCCTAAGACACAAAGTAAATCCAAACCAAAGTACCCTATAGCTAAGATGCGATGGGAGAGCTTTACTACAACGAAAACGAAAAATCACGAGTTTTAATGAACGAACTACGCGTACTCGCTAAAACAAGTTTATTTAGCTAGACACTCACACAGTGGATTTGGCT